TACACCTAATTCGAAACCTGGCCCATGTCATCCAAGGACAAACTGCGATTCACGGACGCAGAAGACGTTCTGCTCCCTCGGGAGGTCAACGCAAAGCTCCCGTTCAAAGCCAAACGAGGAACAGTGATCATTGTGTGGAACGAGGTCGCAGATGCCGTCAACTCTAATGAAGAGTTTAATCGAGTTGGAATTGATGGAAAGCGCGCCCTCAATCGTTTCACCCTGCTGATGGACAACAATCACTCCAGCAACGAAGCATCGTCGCGTGCGTCAGGCATTGAGGAAGAGTACGACGAAAAGACGCAGCTTCTTGACGAGCTGCACTCAGAGTTCGAAGACTGGAAGACTCAAGACAAGGTTCGCCTGGACGAAGCGGCACGGGAAGCCGAACGGATCGAGAACATGGGACTTGCGATACGAGAGCAGGCTCTACAGTCATTGGTTAAACGAAAGTCCACTGAAACGGTGCAAGATGCAGGAGGGACAAATGCAAGCGGCGGCAGCACAGTCATGAAGATGATGAATTTCTTCATGATGACAATATTCCGAATTGGAGTTCCGAATGTATCAGTACGAAAAGGACTACGAGGACAGGCAAAACGTGCGAGCACTCGAACTACAAGAACGTGAAGCCGTGCGGGTCATAGAGTGCGAACAACGACAACGTGAGCGAGAAATGTACATGGAACAAGTACGAATTCAACATGAGACCATGATTAAGCTACTTCAAGCGTTGACTAAGCAATAATGTAGTTGAAACCGTCAATATCAGTTATAATTAATCTTTGCATTTCATGAATTAGACATCTACTATTTCGAGTGTGTCCAAGTAGATCTCTAAACTTGGGGGATCAATTTCAAAATACTGACGAATTTGATTTCCACCAAAATAGCAGCAATGGCAGTTTGTCAAAAGCATCGCAACACTCACGACCTTTGCTACAAGAGACAGGCGAACTTTGGACTAGAGCTTGAACGTGATGAAACTCCAGAGCGTCTTGACAATTTTGAAATTCCATTCGACAGATTGACGCACACGGCTCATGCGTTTGTTGAATTCAGCTTGGCAACTTGTAATGTCGTTGCCCTTGAAACCAGACATCAGATACTTGGACACCCCGTATGCAGGATCGCCGTAAATGCAACGGCGTGCAAACAATCATCGTGTTGCTCGAAGTACTCCAAGAGTCCACTGACACGCAGCAGTGTTGTGTCATGGCGGCAATCCTCAATTGGTCCAAAAAGTGGATGCACACGCCATTCGGAGATGTTACAGCCTGGT